CTATTTTGGTAGGTAATTTTAATTTTTAGTTTTATATTATTCTTTTTCCATTCCTCTTTCAGTTTTCTTGTTGATTTCACTATTTGTATAGTACTCTAGAATAGTGAAAATGTCTTTTTCATAACACTAAACTTAATGTTAAGGTTTTTGAAGAGGTGAAAGGAAAGGAAGTGTTGGAAGAAAAAATGTGTGTCTAGTTTGATAGAAACTGTCGAGGAAGCTACACGTATCTACAATGTTGTCACCTACCAGTTCTATGATTTGGGTGCACGTGAAAAAGTGAAAAGTGAAAGAGATGAGAAAACAAGAGAGTAATATAAAAATCGAGAGAACTAAAATTATCTACTGAAATAGGTGAAGAATTAGAGGAAGACAAGATGGTACATGTGAAAACTATAAAAGAGAAGGAAAGAGGTGTGTAAAAAGAAAAAATAATAAATTAAAAGTTAAAATGTAAAATTAAAAATTTAAATAATAAAAAAATTATAAATATTTTAAGATTTTTTTAAAAAAAATAAAGAAGCTGTACTTATTAAAAAAAAAAGGAGATGCATATATTATTAGCCAAAAATAACTTCTTTATTTTGGGGGCAATCACTTGTGGGCTTGTAGTAAAATCAGTCTCCATTAAAAGAAGGCAGATGTTAAACACACCTCCACTCTCGTATCAACACACCCCTTTTTTAAAAAAAATATATAAAATGTCTAAATTACCCTTTAAAAAAATGAAATTCCTAAATTTACACCTCCATTCCCCGCACCCCCCTTATCCTATATAAGCATGTAAACTTTAGTCTGGAACGACACCAGAACGGGCCGTTCTGCAAGCAGTACGGGCCGTTCTGCTTGTAGAACTGGCCGTTCTGGGGCCGTTCTGTTGCAGTACAGGCCACCGCGTCACTTTTAAAATGGCTACTTTATGACTGATTTTAAAACTCCGATTTTAAAAGTCATTTTTGTACTAGTGTTTCTTTCCATAGAACAAGTAAGAGTCTTTCTCTTACAAGACCACCTGCTGACATTGTGCACCCCTCTTCTTTCTCCTTGTGGCACTCCTCTTCTTCTTCTTTTTTTCCCGCACCTCGCACACCCCTCTTCTTTCTCTTTCTGGCACTCCTCTTCTTCTTCTTCTTACTGTTACGGAAAGTTCTTTCCGGAATTATATAAAAATGTTCCGGAAAATACTTTCCATAATATTAAATTCTTATTCCGGAAAGTATTTTCCGGAAATGTTTTGTTACATAATTCCGGAAAGTACTTTCCATAATATTAAAGTTACTATTACGGAAAGTTCTTTCCGGAATTATATGAACAATAATTTTACTATTCCGGAAAGTACTTTCCGGAATGCTAATGACTGTAAAAGTATTTTCCGGAATGCAAATGATTGTAAAAGAGTCTTTCTTATGCTGGTTATGGTGGGGCTAGTTCTTTTTTTTTATTCAGAATGACTGTAAAAGTATATTACTTAATGATATTGAGCGGAAAGAGACTTTGGGAAGAAGAGGGGTGTGGAGTGTGGGGTGCGGGGAAGGGGGGTGCGGGAAAGGAAGGTGTAAATTTAGGAATTTCATTTTTTTTAAAAGGGTAATTTAGACATTTTATATATGTTTTTTTAAAAAGGGGGTATATTTATACGAGACTGGAGGTGTGTTTATCATCGGCCTTAAAAGAATTTGGATCCATTCTGATACTACACATAAAAGGGGCTGCTATTCGCCAATTTCGGGGTGATGACCTCTTGATACTATTTGCCAATTTATTTCTCGATAGAAATCATTTCCAAGAATGTTTCCATAACACGACTATATTGTGAAAACTACTCTCTATCATATAACTATAATATGGAAACTAGCTTTATCACTATATTATGGAAATTAATTTATTGTGCATTTTGATCACGAAAATTAGTTTCTATCAAATTGTCAATTGTGCGAGTTTCTATTAATTTTTAATTTTTATTGTGTATTTTGATCACAGAAATTAGCTTTATATCAAACTTTCGATTGTGTGAATTTTTATCGGATTGTCAATTATTTCATATTTTAATATACTTTTAAAAACATGTATTATGTTAAATGACAGATAAAATATGGTTGACATAATCCATTGAGTTAACTTATGTTATTTGTAATTTTTATCTATTGACATCTACTTTTGGTATTTTATTTGTCATTTATTTATTTATTAAATTTATTTGTATTTGATTGTATTATATATTTATTTATTTTTTTTTTTTTATAGGAAACTTATTTTAATGTTATTGATGAACATGAATTTTTGAATTATTTGATGTATTATTAGTTTTATAACATTTTTTTTCTCTTTTTAATTATATTAAATCATAAATTTTAAAATTAAAAAAAGTAAAATAAAAATAATTTATATTATTTATAACTAGTAGAATTGAGACACTTCGTGTCTCTATTAAAAATACAATAAAAACAAAAACTAAGTAATAAAAATATGTTGATTTAATTGATATTATAATTAATTCATTGATTAAATTCTTAAAATTAATTAAAAAATGTAAATTTTTTTTTTATAATTTTTAAAATAAAAAAGTATAATAATCACCCAAGTATGGAGATCAAAATAATTACTAAAAAAAATATTTCTTTTATATATTAATATACATGATTGACGGGATAATCTAACTTAATTACAACCAATGCGAGTTTAGTTGGATTAAAAATTTTAAAGCTAATAAAAAATGGATTAACCTTTTTTTTATTGGATTGATTTCGGATTAGGTTGAATTTGATTGAATATATATATTTAGAATACCATTGATATAATATTGAGAATGTCCATATGTTCTATCACTATTGTTAAAAAATATATATTTAACAATTAATGCATGGATTTAACTTGGATGTCACTTATTTTTATAAAATAAAATTCATATTTACCGGCTTATGCGTGTGGGGTGGTAGGTACAATATAAATGATTCTCCTATAGTCTGATTTTATTTCATTCCACCGTTAGATGAATATATATATATATATATATATAACAAATTTCAGTAATATTATATATATTTTTTTTGTTACTAGAGTATCTACTGTCAATAATAATGACTAATCTTTTCGTTATGTTAGAAGCACCTCAAAAAGTGAGATAACAATAACATTGTAAATTAAAATATCGTTTTCAAGCCATTATGTAATTCTAGAAGGATGATGCACCCTACCATTTGAAATAAATTTAAATGATTAAATTAATAAAAGACAATAATGATAAAAAAAAAAGATATGCATATAATTAATAAAATCTACATTTGAAATTGCATGCTCGTAAGCTCGCATATGTCTAAGGTCAATAAATAAAGTATTGTAACAATAAATAATTAGTGACGTACAATATAATTTATTTTACATAACATTCCATCACAAATTATTATATATAATAAAATTTTGATTTTATAATAGTTATTTTAAAAATAATATTAAAAATATTTTTAATTAATTAATTATGTAAAAATTATCACAATATTAATGCATATTAAATGTTGTAATAAAGAGACCGCAATTGTTTAATAGAATAAATTTTGAGAGCTAAAGCTTAATTTTTTTTTTTTGAATTTATATCTATACCTATATATAAAGATGATTCTTTGTTTTAGTGTACACATTATTTTGACAATTTTAATCCTTTATAAAAATTGCATAAATTATATGATAATAATTAATAAAAAAAGGTCTTTCTTCACAAAAATTTTATCTTTAAAATTTTGTACTACCTCCACTAATAATTTTTGTATTCAAAGGATGACTCCACAGAGGTACAAAATACCTTCTTTTTCACTAGTATAAATAAAAAGGTATTTAATTTTTTTTTAAACTTAAATATAAACAAATTTTAAGTAAATTAGTGTTTTTAATTCAAAAATACTCTTAAGATAATAAATGAGAGTATTATATATAATTAATGTGATTAATGATATGTTAAGAAATGTACTTTACATTCTATATGAAATCATCATGGAAATGAAATGTGTTTAATTATTTTTCTTAATTCTAATATAATAAAATTATATATATAT